TTGCCAAAAGGCATATTTTCTACAAGCATTCATATGTAGTTTATGTTGATCAACTCAACATAAAGTTGAAGCTTTTGGTATGCTCTAACTCTTGTCATTGTATCAACAAAGTTTTCATTAGTGTAAATTTTTACTAACATAAACTATTGTTCTTCCAATGCATGATGCAATCAATGGTATCTAATTTTAATATGCTTTGTACAAGATATGCTTTGTACAAGAATGATACATCATGTTTTTACTTAAATTCAAAGCACTTTTACTATCACAATGAATATTATACCTTTTCTACTTTAGTCTTAATTATTAAAGAAACTTCTTCAAGTATTTATTTTCTTGCTTCAGTCATAACAACATATTTTGCCTCAATCATTGATAATGCTACACATCTTTGCAATTTAGATTTCCAAGATATAATTTCCTTCACAAAAGTCCTGAAGTAAATATTCTACCATCCAAGTCAATTGCCATATTTGCATTTGTGTAGCATTCTAAAAATTTTTTTGATCCTCCAAAGTTCAAGCACAAATGAAAGATACCTTTCAAATACCTTAAGACCTAGTACAAACCATTACATATATCAAACTCTCAACTATGAGTAGTAAGACAATAGTGACCATAACATCATTTTCTTCTTGATTGGTAGGGCAACTCTTTTTCCTGAGTTTAAAGTGATTGGCCAATGGTATGCTGACTAATTTAGCATCAACTATATTAAATCTTTCTAAAACCCGATTCACATATATTTCCTGTGACAACTATAATTCTTTAATTTTTTAGTTTCATAAAATTTACACACCCAACCTCATTGATAAGAGAGAAAACCTTTGGAATGAGTATGAATCAGTCCTTTTTCAAGAAGAAACTAACTAATTTCATCTAGAGTGAATTGGATAAATGTGGGTGATAAAGACCACTAGATTTTTCCATCAAGCTTCCATTATTCGAAGAAGGAGAAATAAAATTAAGACTATTTTGAAAGAAGATAATACTTGAACTTATGATACATAAATTATTTCTACGATTTTGTCTTATTTCAAGGCTCTTTATTCCTCTACAAATTTAGGAGATATAAAGTATTCCACATTCTCTAGTTTTTCCATTATGGATCCTGCTAATATAAAAAAGTTAATAAATATGTTAGTTTAAAGGAAATCAAAGATGGTTGGTTCATAATTGATGATTATAAAACTCCTACTCCAAATTAACTTCATGTTATTTTCTTTAAGTCTAAATGAGACTTATTTCATCCTTGTTTATTTATATTCATTCAAGATTTGCTTAGATAGATAGATGATATTGAGAATTTTAACCAAACCTTTATTACTTTAATTCTCAGAGCAGATGAGAAAGTATCTCAATTTCAGCTTATTTCATTGTGTAATATTATTAATAAAGTTGTCATAAAAGTTCCATAATAGGCTTAATCTAGTAATGCATAAGTTTATAAGTTCTTTTAATCATAATTTTGTTTTGAGAAGATCAACTATTAATAATATTTTTATTCTTTAAGAGTTGGTTCATTCCTTCAATATTTTTAAATAGTAAAATGAGTTACATGATCTTAAAACTTGATTTAAAAATAGCTTATGATAAGGTTCATTGGAATTTTATGATCAGTCACTCAATTCTACAAGGCTTGAATTTAAATTTATTAATGTTATCAACCATTGTATATCTCTTTTTCTAATAAGGAGATCTAATTTTTTCTTATCTATACCTTTGTTTTATATATTGAAATATTTTCTCATGCTATTAATGATGCAGTGAATTTTGATAAATGAAATCCTTTTAACTCCGGTCATAATAGGCCTTAAATATCTCATCTTATGTTTGCATAAATAACTTAATTTTAATGGTTAAAGTAAATTTCAATTAAGTTACTATTATTTATGATATTTTTAAGGATTTTTTGCAAGTACTCAGGATAACAAATTTATAAAGGCAAATCTAGTTTTTTTTTAAATAATGTAAATAAAACTTGTTTGTGATATTATAAATATGCTTAAAATTAAGCTCAAGGATAATGTGAAAATGTATTTGGGAATGCCTATGACAAATTCTAAACCTTCAAAATTTATTTTTTCTTTTTCATTGACAATGTGAGAAATAAATTCTCAAGTTAGAGGGTTAACAATTTCTCTTTTGCTAATAGACTGATTCAGCCCAAGTTTATGTCAAGTATTCTTAAATATCAAATGCAAACTCAAATCCTTCCTACTGTAGTTTTAGATGAAGTGGCAAAATTATGTTAAAGCTTCATTTATGGTAACACTGCTAAAAGTAAATGTCACTTAGTATCTTGGGATAAAATATGCAAGTCTAAGTCATATAATGGCCTTGAATTTAGGATCTAAGGACAACTAACTTAACTTATGTAATTAAGCTTGGTTGACACTGATTTTGCAACCTTATCGCTAGAGTTCTAAATAAAAAATATAGCTGTGGAGTGTCTGATATTCTTATTGTTAACAAGGTGGCTAAATCTTCTAATATTTAAAATAACTTAGTTAAAATTTAAAATTTTATTAAGAACAATGTTACTTAATTGGTAATGGAAATTCACTTAGATGATTAGAAGATATTTGGGTCATTAATATTGGTAGTCTAAAAAGCTTTTTGACTATTCTTATTACTTGGAATCATAAGAGCTAGGGGAGAGGGGGCTCGGAGGCCGCTATTCATGACGAAGGAAAGAATAGGGTAAAGACTCTACCAATTAAAACTAAAAACAAGTCCGTATTCCAAAGGAAGAGGGCGATAGCTAGAGCTTAGGAACCTTGTAGAGAGAGAACTAAGCTCTATGACGCGAGAGTCTCACGTACGGTTCCTTTGAGAAGGGTGTGATACCACCACCTATCAGGCCCGACGAGTGGTCCACAGAGCTGCATCCCTACTTACCTGGTCCATGCACATCGCTCTCTCGAGGAGGTTGGCCGCCAATAAGAATAATACTTGTGATTAAAATTTTTTAAAAGATAACCTTCCTATTTCAATCTATAATAAGATTGCTTGCATTATTCCTTCAAGACTAAATATTAAGGATAATCTTTTTATTTGTAGATATAATTCAAATTGAAGATTTTTCCCTTAAAATTACTGTATAAATTTATATTTATGTTAGAATACCTGTCTAATAATTCTTTTACTTTTTATAGACTTTGAAAATTAAAGGATCCTTAAAGAATGAAAACTTACATTTGAAGAGGTTCTCATAATTAACTCTTAACTAATATGGAAAAAAGGCGTAAAAGTTTCGTTAATACTAATATTAGCCCTTAGTTCAACGATGCTGATGAATCCATTATGCATATTTTTAGAGATTGTAACTATATCCAAGAAGTTTAGAACAATATAATTATCATTGATGTAATTTTTTTTAGTGATTTAACCTCTTGATTAAATTTTAATCTTTTTGATATTTTCATGAAATTGGTCAATTACTTTTAGAATTCTTTTTTTGATATATTTATTTGGTTAATTTCAAAAGATAAAAACAAATTAGTGTTTGATTGTAAATCTAAACTTCACTCAAACTTATATCATAAGGTTATTAGTTATAACAATTGGATTAAAAAGGCCACTAGTTTTCTATTAACAAGCTTATATCTTAGGGGAAAAAACAATGATTTTTTATGCTTAGTTTTACCTCCTAATGCTTTTTTATGCATGTTAAACTAATTTTTTGATTCATAATATTTTTGTAACTTATTTAGTATTTTAAATTTACTTTCCAAAACTGGATTTTTCTTTATTCTTTCAAATCCATATTATTTATGAAAACACTATTTTATATCTACCTTATTAGACTTATGCGCTATATCAGTTTATAAATTTTTTATATAATTATATTTTATGACTAATATTTTTTTATTAACCTTAATTCTTATAATTAAAATTAAATATTTAAAATAATTTAAAAAAAATAATATAATTATTATATTAAAATATAAAAAAATATTTTAAAGTTAATTACTATTATTATTTTTATATTTAAATTTAATTATTTAATTTTTAAAATAATATAAAAATATTATTAATATTTACTTTTATAGGTTTTAATTTAAACTTTTTTCATCAATTCTATTTATTAAAAATAAGTTAAAAGTAATCATAAATGTTTCACAGAAGGTTCTATAAATTATAATATAATTAATAAATATTAATAATTTTTTTAAAATATACTAATTTAATACAATGGTGCAGTACAACAAATTAATTTTATCTTAAAAATTAAATTTACAAATATATTTAAATTTAGTTTTACTTTAAAAATCAAATTTAAAACTAACGTAATGTAAAATATTGAATTTAAAATTGATTTTAACAAAAACTAAATTAAAAATTAATTTTAAATCAAATTTAAATTTTAAAATTTATTTAAAATATTTTTAAAAAATAAATATATTAATTTAAAATTTAATTTGTATAATTTTTTTGTGTAGTGGATAAATGATACAAAATAAAAAAATATGAATTTAATTTTAATATAATATAAATATAAAAATTATATTATTAACTAGTAAAAATATATTTAAATATATTTATATTAATTATTATAAAATTTAATTTTTTAATATAATGATTTAATAATAGTATAAAAATATAATAATTATAATATATTTTATTGGATTTAAAATTAATTTTAAATCAAAACTAAATTTTAAAAAATAAAATAAAATAATTTAAAATTTAATTCATATAATTAGATTTAAAATAAATTTTATGCAAATTTAAGAAAAATTATCATAAAAAATGACATATTGACTGCTGTTAATCTGATGAGAAAGTCATGTGAACCTTATTGTCATTGTTTAACTTTGGCGAGGAAAAAAAAATGAATTACTAAACCTCAACTAGAAAGTGTTTCTAGTCTATGTTTTTAAGAAATAAAGTTAGCTTAAAATTGTTTTTCTTTAAAAAAATAAATTAGTTGTATAAATACATTCTAAACAAGCATGAAAAATAATTAAAAAGAAATGTTATTAAGGTACGCCGCCAAGCATGACTAGGTTACTAGTACCTAACAAGTGAGGCCTATGAATGCTACACGGCTTCCTAAATCACAGTAACGCTCTCTTCGAATCTGAAACAAGTGCTTCTCAATTAAGGAAGTCCATAACAAGGAAACAAAATCAGCGTACGCATCAAGCCACAACTATACTACAACTCCACTGTCTGGTTATAGGGTCCAATCCAACCAGGAGTGGAAATAGCAATTCCATTACTTACAAAACCATTTCCCCTTCTCTTTATTCATCCTCTTCTCTCTCACTCTCTTTCTTCGGAACTCTCTCTCTCTCTCTCCACTCTCTCTATCTTCGAGGGTTTCTCTTCTTCCTTGAAGAAGAAGAAGAAAGGAAGGGGAAGAGCACGACGCTGACCCAACGAAAAGCCTTTGTGTAAGCTCTTTCTTTCTCTTTCATTTCTAGGGTTCAGATCCGTTCACTCCTCTGTTTCAATTGCGTTGGGGTTTTCCATCCTCAGCATCTTCGATCCGAAATTCAGTTGTCAATTTTTTATTCGGTTGTGCTTGTATTGAGAAATTTCTGGCGTTTATTTTCCATGAAGTTACGGGTTCAGGTTTACGATAAGCTTTTCACTATTTCTTTTGGATTTTGGGTAATCTTCTGCTTTTTCTGTTTTTGTTTTTTTTTTTTTTTACGGTATTTTGTTTAGTTCTGTTGGGTATGGAAATTTAAATAATAAATAATAATAATATTGAAAGTTAAATTTGTTTCCTTCGTTGCTGGGGAATTAATAAGACATTTCACTTAATCTTGGGTTGGTTGAAGGTTTGTAGATTGGATTAACGTTTAGCAGTTCAGAGGAAAGGAATTTATGAGAGGACTGTTTTGAATTGAATTATTCAGAATTTTAACTTGGGTATGTTTTGTTGTATGAGAATAGTTGATGCATTTTTTTTTACCTATGTGGTGTATTGTGCATGATTTGACATGGCATGACCGTGTCTAATTAGTGAGTGGTGTAAACTGGGGAGTTTATGGGGGTGGGACGACCATGCCTTCGTGGATCAGTGTAGTTATGTTTTTTTTTTTTATTCCGATGGATTCTCATGTAAATGTTAAATTATTTTTAGCAAATGAAGTGAATCTTCCATGACTTATCCTTTTCTAAATTTATAATTCCTTCCTTCTTTGTTTAGTGCTTTTTGAGGTGCTTCAGTCATGTTTGGGCGTGGACCAAGGAGGAGTGATAACACCAAATATTATGAAGTTCTTGGTGTTTCAAAAACTGCTAGTGAAGATGAAATCAAGAAGGCCTATAGAAAGGCAGCAATGAAGAACCATCCAGATAAGGGTGGAGATCCTGAAAAGGTAAGTTTTGTGATCATTAGGGATGAAACAGGCCAATTCATGCTTTTTATTTTAAACAAGTTTGACCTGTAACATAACATAATTATTAGGCGTTTGAATTTGTTAGCTTTGTTAGCTGTTAAAAGCTTTATTTTTTTTTTACTTTAAATAGGTTTAGCCTTTAACATAACATCTTATCTTTTAAAAGCTTTATTTTCAGTTTGGCCTGGTTTAAAGCCTGTTACAAATTTTTTTTTTTAATATTAATAAAAATATAAATATTTTATTATCAAATTAGTTTATATATTTTTTTACTTTTTATTTGTGTTATTGATAATTATTAAATAATTGTAATAATTTTATAAATAATTTTTAAAATATTATTTGACCACTAATTATAAATGTTTCATATTAAATAAATTTTTATTTTTTTATTTATTTTTAAAATTATTAAATTATTAAAAGTTTTAATTTTTTTAGAATCATATTTTATTTGTTTAAAGACATTTTATATTTAATAAATAAAGTCATAGTAAACACATAAAATTGATCACAAAAAATAACATTCACAATTTATTAAATCAGCTGAAAAAAATTATTATATCTTTAAAAATAGATAAATTTAAATTTAATGTAATATATATATATAATGACAATAATAATAACTATTAAATTTTAAAAAATAATTACAAAATATTTAATTTTATTTATTTCATTAATTTATTATTTTAAATTAATAAATATACGTAAAATTAACTATACTATAATATTAATATAATATAAAAAATATTACTGATACAATGTATTAAAATATATATATATATATATATATATATGTATATATTATAAATTAATTAATTAATAATTTAATTTTTTATTTATATTTTTTTGTAAATATTTATTAATTATTGAATTTTGAATGTATATTAATAATTATATTTTTTAAGAAAAAAAATTATTTACATCTATGTCAAATTCAGAAAAAATAATTATTTAAAATTGACATTTATATTTAGTTATGTTGCTATGTGCTATATATCTGGTATGTAAATTTTTTTTATAGGTACTTTATTCAAAAAATTTATACTAATAAAAATAAAATACATATTAAGTTACAAAAAGTATATATTATTATATATAATTTATTTAAAATTATATTATTTATATTATTTATTATATGATTCTATTATATATATATGTTGTATATAAAATTTTTTATTTTATTTTTTATCATTTTTTATAAAATTTTAATTTTGAATAAAATATAATTCATATTTAAAGAATTTTTATTTGTTATAAAAAATAATTAAACATAATATATTAATATAATAATTAAATAGTAATAATAATAAAATTAATGTTATAGTGTTGTTAAACAGGCTTTAAAAAAAGTTTAAGCCTTGTTTGTTTATTGAAAAGGTTAGGCTAGGCTTAAACCAGGCCAGGTTGTAGGCCTTTGTCAAGCGGTCTGACCTGTTTCTATCCCTAGTGGTCACTATTTCTTCGCTGCATTTTGATTATCCCATGCAAATGCCATTCTCTTCTATTAGGGCCGATTTTCACTGTCTGACTTTATAAGTTCATTATAAACATTTTATATTAGTGACTCTGCAGTTATCTCTTAATTAAGTTAGTATATATTGCAAACTGTAAAGAGATTTAATATTAATGTTGCATGCAGATAACTTGAGCATGCTATATTTTTAGGTTTGTAGTTTTCTCATTATATATAATATGCTGTTCACTTGCTAACTTTTGTGATAGAAAAACTGCCAACTTTTCATGTTGTCCGTGCATAATGTTTTAATTCTAAATATCTAATTCCCTTATCAGTTCAAGGAGTTAGGTCAAGCATATGAAGTTTTAAGTGATCCTAAAAAGAAAGAACTCTATGATCAATTTGGTGAGGATGCCCTTAAAGAAGGGACGGGAGGAGGAACCTCGTTTCATAATCCATTTGATATATTTGAATCATTTTTTGGAGGAGCAAGCTTTGGTGGTGAGATTTTCACTTTTAAATTTACATTATTTCATTATCATCTGTGAATCATCTTGCAGTTTTGAGTTTATCGGCCAACTCACTATTGCTATTATCTCTTAGCAGGTGGTAGTTCACGAGGTAGAAGACAGAAGCATGGTGAAGATGTGGTGCATTCTTTAAAGGTTTCCTTGGAGGATGTGTATAATGGCACAACAAAGAAACTATCACTTTCTAGAAACATATTATGCCAAAAATGTAAAGGGTATGGATTTATTTCTGTTTATATTTTTTGTACATCTGATATTTTTAAAAGAATATCATCATTTTATGCAGTTATTTAATTAATTTGCCTTACTTTGTTTTACATTTAGTTTTAGGATATACATGTTTGTATATGGCAGTTCTATGAATATGTTCTCTCTGGCTTAAACTAAAAGAATATTGTATTAGGTTGTTGCTATTTTTTCTTTCTAGAATTCACTGTATTCAGTATTTCTTATGCTGTATACGTGGAATCCCAAATGGAGAATGAAGTGATGTTAAGGATGGGGTTTCAATAAAAGAGCAACGTGGACATCCATGTCGAACATTATGTGCTTGGGATAGTGGTCAATAGTGCACTATAGTGGATTCATCTCAGTTTCTGTTCTTTTCAGGCAGAAAATCTCCCACTTTACCCCAGTTTGTTTTGAGACTTAAAGATCTAGAAAGGAGGTATTTTTAGGATTTATTCTTTTCATAGAAAAATAGGGTTTCTATGGAGAAGCCAACATGTTTCTTTACTGTTAGCTGCTCAGCACTTTAGCAAATTTTTGGTGAGATTGAGACATTTCTCCTTTTCTCGCCGTCCCTCTGCCAATCCCACGTTGTCTAGTGTAACAGCCATAGTTATCAATGTTGGATAGTGGTACGTAGCGGTCAACATAAAAAATGATATAAAAAATGATGTAGCGACCGCTATTTAGAAATATTATTTATAAATAAATTATTTGTACTATATATGTATATATGCTAAAAGGTTTTTGAACATACTCAAAATACATGACATGTTCATAATTAAAAATAAGAAGTCATAGTTCTTAGGCAAAATATACTAGTAAACAACAATAAAAGTAGAAAAATCCCCCAAACCAGTGCTTTTTTAGGGAGAAAATGATTATTTTTTTTAGTTTCACTCCAACACTGCCATAGCAGTGCTACAGCTGCTATTTTGGCTTCTATTCAAAATTGCTCTGCTATTCAAATTTTATAGGGGCCTATGGCTACTCTGCACTGCTCTGCTATGCTATTCCCCTATAGCGCCACTATAGCCTGCCATTAATAACTTTGGTAACATCACTCTGATCTCTCTGAGCTGAGATGTTCCATAACTTAATGTTGATATTTGGCTTTTGTATTCAGTTTAAAATTATAACTCTTGGTTATGAATGATGAATGTCCTTAATTTTATGTAATTTTTATTTTTCAAGCACATATATTGTGCATAATATGAATTATTTAATTTGTATGTCTAAATTTTAGAATAGCTGTCTTCCCACTAACTGCTATGGCAGTTTTGGGGTTGGTGCCTCTGCTGCTATTTGGGATTGACAACTATGGTGCATGGAAATAATATTTTGAGATAAGCGGTGGCTAAAATTCTCTTGAAATAAACAGTGACTTAAACTACTGGATTTATATAGAAAAAAGTCACTCATTTTGTGAATATTTGTCACTTCTCAGAACTTTTCCTGCCATAATTTATAGTTGTATTCAGATGAAAGCTTCAATTGTTTGTCTGATCCATGTCAGAAGCTAGGTTGTGAATAGTGTGCTGTGGTGTTGTGTTGCGGTATCCATTCACTATTCCAAGCTTGTCATGGTGTTTCAGTGTTGTGGCTGTTGCAGACACTATAGTTGTGGAAATCGCAGTGTTTTGCGCATGTGTTGGATGCTACTGTGAAAGTTTTCAAAAACCCAATAATGTCCTAAATTTTTAACATTGCAGTTTGCAGGCCATGTTTAGGGATATTTTGGGGTCTTTGAGTTGAAATAAAAAAAGCTTTAAATGGGTTTAGAAAAACCAATCTTACCTCCCCACTTTTGCACCCTCTTTTCTCTGAGCCTCTGTTGTGCAAACTATCTACCTACTGCTCTGGTGAATATCTGGTGAGCTTGTGGGTGTTTACTAGCCAGCTTCTGGTGATTTCTGGCAAACCATCCATTCTTCTGCATTTTAAGTGCTCTGGTTTTCCCTTTGTTTTGCTACTATCCCAAAGTTGTTCTCTCCCTGTCCTCTTCTCTTTTTCTTTGTGTGTTATGTTGATTTCTGAATGTTTTGTTCTCTTTTTTTTGTCCGAATTCTCTTGTTCAATTCTAGTTTTATTTGGTCCTTAATGTTTTGTTACACCACTTAGAGGCTTTAACTCCTTATATTTTTTTTACTTTTATTGTTATATACTTATATTTTATGTTTAATTATCAGTATGTCATGAATTCGAGTATTTGTTTTCAATTTATGTATTTATATAAAAAATTCAGAATAGTGGCAATCCAGCTATATCATTTTTGGTGTTGGCAGCTATGCCCCACTATCCATTATTGATAACTATGGTCAATTGTCAAAAGATCTGTGGAATCCATGGTGTTTAAGTGAGCCTTATGTTCTAAGTCACGCCACTATATCTTATGTTACGATAGACTTAATATTTTTAGGACTCAGGATCAATTATAATGCTAGTGGCTTATGGTGGGGCATTTTAGTTCATGTCAGTCTTCAAATTTATTTGTTTGTGTTTGTATACTTTATTGATTATTTAAATATATATATATTTAATGGAATTTCTTATTAATTGTCAAAATTTGACAACTATTCAGTTACAACAGTTGTTTTACTTGCAATTTTTTGACAAATCAGGAAAGGTTCAAAAAGTGGAACAGCTGGGAATTGTTTTGGATGCCAAGGCACAGGTATGAAGATTACAAGAAGGCAGATTGGTCTAGGCATGATTCAACAAATGCAACATGTCTGTCCTGAATGCAGAGGAACTGGTAATGGAAACTTCATTTTCCATATTTGATAGGCTGCTGTATGGTGTTGTTTTCTCCAGCTCATCTGTCATGCATGCAGGTGAGGTCATCAGTGAGAGAGATAGATGCCCTCAGTGCAAAGGAAACAAGGTTACCCAGGAAAAGAAGGTGCTGGAGGTGCATGTTGAGAAGGGGATGCAGCAGGGTCACAAGATTGTTTTTGAAGGACAAGCAGATGAAGCTGTAAGTTTATAGTTCTTGTACTATTAGTGTTTACTTTGTGAAGACTGCCTGAAGTTGATCATTTTTGTCTTAATGGTGGTTTGTTAAATTAATTGCACTTGGTCTTGCTGTGCAGCCTGACACAATCACAGGTGACATTGTTTTTGTATTACAAGTAAAGGAGCACCCAAGGTTCAGGAGGGACCATGATGACCTCTATATTGATCATAATCTCAGCTTAACCGAGTCACTCTGTGGCTTCCAGTTTGCTGTCACGCATCTTGATGGTAGGCAACTTCTGATCAAATCAAACCCTGGGGAAGTCATCAAGCCAGGTAATATTTAATAATTTTGGTAGTACACAACTGGAATTTTATATAACCTTTATATTCCATTTTCTGATGCATGATTTGTAATTATGCTATGTAGGTCAACATAAAGCAATAAATGATGAGGGAATGCCACAACACAATAGGCCCTTCATGAGGGGACGCCTGTACATCAAGTTTGATGTTGATTTCCCAGACTCAGGGTTTCTGTCCCCTGAACAATGCCAGTTATTAGAAAAGGTATTACCTCAGAAGACCAGCAAACAATTGTCAGATATGGAGCTTGATGATTGTGAGGAGACCACTTTGCATGATGTCAACATGAAGGAGGAGATGAGACGAAAGCATCAACACCAATTCCATGAGGCATATGATGAAGATGATGATGAGCCATCTGGTCCGTCTAGAGTACAATGTGCTCAACAGTAGCACAGCTTATGCTAGACTTCATTCGTCATCTAGAATGGTTCTGAATGGTCATCATCCATTTGCATAATGCAGTCATAGCTGCGTGATAATTTACCTTTAGGTATCGTCTGGTAATGTTATTTAGTTTACAGTTCTTGGCAGATTTCTATGTTAAATTTGAATTTTGTTGTAATATTTAAGTATATGCAAATTAAATGCTTTTTTGTGCAAGGTGTGGTAATAATGATTGCAGATCCCAGTTGCATGTCTCGTGCTATTTGGCTCTTAAGTTTTTGGGGTAATCCTTACATATCCCGCATTAGATTTCTTTTGTTGGAGAAATATCGTAGTTAGTGTGACGAGTTCTAGGTTGCTGAGCTTCGCATCATAGCGACTCAATGACTTGTAGTAGAATGACATTTTTTCTTTAGCAAGTCACAGTTGTTTTGAGATAAAAATTTATTATCTCTTCATCACGTATTAGTGTTGAGGGGATATATTCTATCATGCATTCTTACATGCAAAATTTCACAAGCAGCTAAAATCTATCAAAATCTTTAAATACTCCTATATCATCTCAAACAATCTCGTATGGATAGGTCAAAAGTATTTTGTCTCCGTAGTGTGAAGACATTTTTTCTTTTTACTTGAACTAGGTATATTCTTACCTTGGTATATTCTTCTTTAGGTGCTAATTTAAACTTCATGATTTTTTCATATGTATATAATAATACTTAGTACTGGAATAGGCGTTTGTGACTAGTATGGTCAAGAACCCGAACCCTTTAATTTGTTCTCTTTACTGATTTTTATTTAGTGTTTTTTTTTTCAAGATATATATTCTCTTTGAATGTTGTTTGTGTGAGAAGTTTCAATTTTTTTTCCTCTTTACATGTTTGAAGTAAAAGGTAGTATTTTTTGCTAATTTTTTAATACAATTTATATGTTGTGTTTTAGTTTTAAAAAATCGTCAACTTTTAATCTAATTTTAGAATATATAATTTGTTCTATCTTACCTTGAAAGGGTGTAATTTTAAAAATATATTGAAATCTATTATTATTTTCATCATAAAATATATATTGATTTTCTAGATATTCAAAGAAAACATAGTTTATTGTATAATAAATACATTGTGTAACAAAATGTTTCAAAATTTTGCAGAAGTCCATTTGCAATAGGTTTAAAAAAAAAATTCATCAAGCAAGTCTCACAAGAAATGCTCTACAAAGCATTAAATTGTTGAAGTTTATTAAATTAGAAAGTTGACAAGGTGAAGTAAGTTTGGTTGTACATTGGAATGAGACGCCAAGAGTTGTAGTCAATTTAGCATAAATTTAATATGTTTATTTATCTTTTTATCATTCTTTTTATTTTAAAAGGTTGATCAGCGGTTTTTTTTTTTATGTAGTGATATTTAAATTTGACTTTGCAATTATTTATTATTTTTTTGTTATATTTTTTGTGTAATTATTTTTTTTTTTGTTGACTTGATTTATAATCAATTAATTATTTTTATTAAATTATCAGTCTACTTTTTAAGTTCCTAAATTGCTATTATTATGTTTCATTGACCAATTTCAGAATGTAGGATTTGAAATGATGTTATTATAACTATAACCCTTTTTTTTGGTTATTATTATAACTATAACTTTTAAACTTAGAATGTAATATCATTTAATATTTATGTACTTAAAACTATTCACTGTTATAAATAATATATCATTTAAATTTCAGAGTGTCATTTCAGCAATTATATTATTGAATCTAGGATATAATTGGTACCGTTACTTAAACTAAATATTATTTTATAAGAAAAGAAGAAGAAAGAATCTAAATTTACCATTATTATTAACTGAATAAATGACATTTAATTATAATTTCTACTCATTATTTAAGTGATTGATTTTAAAAATTTATTTTATTTTATTTCCTATCTGATTTAATCAGGATCTGACCTAAATCGCGTACCTGAATATGATGGGTGAATTTACCATCAGAGATTTTTTACGTACACAAGAACTGAGCCCAAGACTTTACTTAAGTAATACCAAGCCGCTTACTACTCAGACCAACTTTCATTAGTTTTTAAAGTTTTATTAGTTATAAAATTATATACTTCATTTATTTTTTGTAATAATATTGTTAAAGCTATTTTAGTATTATTATTAAATTAAAATAAACCTAGCAATTTTTTATGCAAAATAAAATATTTAAATAAATAATTTAAAATATATTGTATAAATATTTTTAAATTTAAAAGATTAAATGTAACATCTTTAATTTCTTATTTTATATTGATAATATTTTATAATGAAAAAGAAAAATAAAGTAAATTTCTTTATATTTACAGCTTAAAGAATTGAAGGAAAGAGTAAAACTTACATTTCTTTTATTCAGTTTATGAAAACTTAAGGGTATTCAAAATATTATAAGAGATAGTTTTCAAAATTTTAAATTTATAAATATAGTAAAAACTAAAATTTACAGCTTGACATTTTTCTTAATTTGTATTACATGCATATAAGTTAAAAATGATCAACACTACCTTTCAGTAAGTAAGTTTATATCTAAAATTAGATGAAAACTACAAATTAAAAATAGCTAACTATCAAAATTACAAATACATTTCAAAGTATTATTTACAATAAAACTTATCAAAATATTATAAATTCAGAATCGATAATATGAAAATGGTTACATATCCTTGCCAACTTTGAATAAAGACTAAATTAAAATTGTTACAATTTTCAAAATTAATCTAAGTTCTAACAGAGTAATCTTTCTTATAATTTTACGGAAGATATGATCTTATAACAGATAATCTTTATTTATTCTTCAATTTCATTTCCTGAAAAATAATTCATAAGTGTGAGTATTATCTGCCACACTAAATCCTTTATCTTATAAATGAATCAAGTAATACATAAAATATTATTTGATACAGAATACATGTCAAAATAGTACTAGCTCATGTACTATATTAATGAACCTACAACAGATCAAGCATCATAACAATCACCTCAATACACAATATTTCACACACAACCAACCTCAATCATTCCATCATTGACACTATACCACTTTATTCATTCATAGATCATCATGTCATAATAAGCGGGTTATAACCATATTAATCAATGAATTACAATACATGTATTATAATTACACCTGTCAATGTATTACAATACTTGTATTATAATCACATTAATCAATCCGTTATGATTTATATATTATAATCACACATCTCATAATTCACAATCATTGCCTCTAAGATCCTTTGAGGTCTTTCATAAGTATAGATAGTTGTCAATTAGCCCTTGCACACGGATAAACGTATACAATAAAGAGTCCCTTAGCAAAAGTATAGTCAAGAGTCTAGTCAGAAAACTAGTGTAAGACCATGTAATGCATTCACAATCAATAAATTATGTATACACAAGCGAATGTCATTCACTACCCTACGTTTCTCCCAGATTTTTTAAATCGTCTCCATATTTTATACTCCTAGTGAATCTCTATAACTATCCATACACATTTTAGTTAGTTTTCATGACACATATTTCCTCAACACTTTTCAAATATTCATATCTATTTCTGTTCATCTTTTTTCTCATGATAGCACAATTTTCACTCTTTTTCTTTCTCTTCATAATAAAAATTCACCATACTATGTCATTCATTACATTTAAATCATCAATCAATCATTTACATCAATTCTCTTTCATAATTTCCTTTAACATGCAATCGAATTCACACTAATTCTTTTTATTACTTTTTACTAATAATAGATTTCATCATTCAAAAATAATCAAACACTCTTCATCAATCAATTTCACATCATACAAATCAATACAATGTACCGAATGTCAAATATCTTTGAACTCAACCTAATTGTATAGTTTAGAGATACATTGCTGGGGATCACAATCTCTCAGTCTTTATAAAAATCATCTATCCTAAGATTTATCCCCTTTTCCTAACACATATACATATATATTGAATAACACCTTTATGAAAATCTTCTTAAAAACTTATTCTCAAAACATATCATAGGTTTTTCATACTAAAAAATTCATTTATACACCGTAATTGTTAAGAAAGCATTAGGGATTTGTCATTTTAAGAAAGAGAATCTGAATTTTAATTCAAAAAAGTATAAATAAGACTTAGGGTTTAGGATCAACTCCCTTTACCTGGATATGAGTCTCGTAAGCTGAGTTTTTCCTAAAGATCCGAAGGAGGAATATGATGTTTCCAATGGAGAATATTGCCTTAAGGGTTAAGGTTTTCTTAAGTATCATAAAATATAAAACTTTAGATTGGAGAAAATTGAGAAATAGGAATGAAGTTGGAAAACCAAGTTCCAAGAAATTTACTTGGATTTGAATGGAATAGAGGTTTAAGTTCAGATCTAGAAGAGATTCGAGTTCGGAAGAGGTTTCTCTGAGAAGAGAAAGTAAGAGAACAAAGAGAATGAAAGAGAAAATTGCTGAGGAGAAATAATGAAAGTTTGGACGTTGAAGTCCTTTAAATACCCCTCTACTCGCGACATTTTCGCTACAGCGCAAGAGCTTCTTATTGCAGCAAAAAAACTTGATATCTTTTTCCCCTTGATGTCTTGTCATTTTCACTGCAACGAGAATCTCCTCGCTTCAGCTAGAATTTCTCACTCCAGCGAGAGTATTAGCTGAGTCAACCTTATCCACTTTTTGTTAGAGGTATCCACGGGTCGATTTGGTTTGAATTTGGAGAAAAAATAATTCGAACCGATCAAAATGGATTGATTTGATTTAGTTTAGATTTGTGCAAACAAATTTAAAAATCTGAACCAATCCAAACTAAATACGAATAGGTTGGTTCGGTTTGGATCATCGAGTTGTCTGATTAAATAACCTAAAATAAAAAAATAGAAAAAATGTTAATTTTTTTATTCAAATAATTCTTGACACATAATTTTAACGTAATTATACAACATTCCAACACAAATACACAAATTCAAAATACACTTTATTGCATGTGAAGGTGTTTTCTTTTTTTACAAAAAAAAGTCAACGCAAATTAACGGGTTAATCGGGTATGTCATCGGGTCTAAGGTTGACTTGTGCTAACCTGATATCGAACCAAACCACATCGAGTTTGATCGGTTTGGATCTAATCGGACCCGTTAAGTATCGGTTTGGATTGTTTTCCGATTTGGATTGATTTGAATCATCAGGTTTATTAGTTTATCCGATCCAATAGACACTCCTACTTTTCGTTATACCCCACCGTGGTATGCGCCAATAAGACCACCAAAAGCCTTTGTGGCACTAGTGGTACACAGAAGTCATGGGTGATCATTGGTCCGATGCTTCGGGCGAAACCAATTCCCAAGGTGTGACGGGCAGTGTGTATAGGGCCTGGGTACATATTCACTACGGCATGCTGATCTGTTGAAAGCCTTTTCTGACCAAAACCTGGAACGAAAGTCTTGAGCCTAGGCTTTGGAATCAATCAAAAGAGCCCGAGCCGAGTAAGGATACAACGCATAAGTATAAGCTGCTACAGCATCAGGCAGGGCTTTCTTTCCAGACCTAAATCTACAAAAGATAGAACCTAAATAAGAAGCCAGGGAGGCCTTATGGTAGAAAAAAGGTATGCAGGGGTTCTGGACTTCCTCGTTACAGCAAGAAGACTTAAGAGAACCTGATTTTTGGATGGTCTTCCTCACTACAACGAGAAATCTTACACTAAAGTTTCTATTTCTTTTCATACAAGGGTCACAAAATTGAGGGTGTTATATTAAATATTTTTATTATTAATAATAAATATTTTATGAAATTAAAATATTAAATTAAAATGATAAAATATTTTAAAATATTCAAATTCAAATTAAGATTAAAATGAAAAAAAAATATTAAATGCAAAAAAAAAGTCATATAACATAACGGAAAAAGAATAAATTTTAAAAATAAATTTATTTAAGATATTTTTTTAAAAAATGCTTTTATTTAAGAATTTGAAAACTCACATTTCTTTTTAGTTACATAAGAAACTAAAAAGAAAAGGCAGATTTTGAAAATTTAAAATCAATTTCATTGACATAAATCTTAATTATATCTAACCACAAATTAACATTGTTAAATAGTACAAAATATTTTAGTACGAAAATGTTATGAATTGAAAATTAACCAATCAAAATAGGAGTCTGAGAAAGGAAAATAAAGTTTTAATAAATAATTAGCGGCCAATCAAACAAAAAAATCGTGTAATACAAAACCGGCTTCGTTCCACAAAGCATTTTTTATCATTAAATGTATGATAAAAATAATGTAACTAATACCGAATCAGTACTCTCCTCTCTCTCTCTCTCTCTCTCTCTATATATATATATATATATTAAATTGAACTATTAGTTCCTACAGTTTTTTAACATTTTTAATTAAATTCTTATAATTTAAATTTTTAGTTCAACCTTTTAATAATTAATATTATTATATCTCAATTAAATATGAATGACATGGTATTTTTAATTTATCAACTTCTTATTTAATATTTTTTTATAATTATTTTTTATAGGTAAATTTCTTATGATACATTTAATACTAAATTTATTAAGAACATGCATTTCAAAGTATATTTATACTAATATATTCAATGTCTAATAACTAAAATATTCTAAATAAAAAAAACATCAAGAATGAAAAAGAAATTTTGAATCACTCCTAAAATCTTGAAGAATCTTGAAAATTGCTTTTACAAAAAGTTTAGGTTTAAAGTTCTACTTCTTTCATTGTAAATTCAAGTTTTTAGACAGACTTTATATAAATTTTTTTATAATAAAATAGTAAAAAATAAAAACAAAAATTTATTTTAAACTTATCTCTACTGGTATATAGTATTCAAATATGTTAATATAAATCAAGTAAAAAATATCACCAAGTAATAATATGATTTATGAATTTGGAAAAAGTATTTATGAAAAATAACTATATATAAAAAAAGAAATGTGGAAAAAGATAGACTATCAAATTATATAAAGATTAACAAATTAATTTAACTTAAGAATATTTATTGATCTATTTATAATTTGAAAATAAGTAAATATTATTGACATTATTATCATAGTATTAAATTTTTTTATATCATAATTAATTTAATTATTTGTAATATTTCAATTATGAATCATTTTGATTTTATTACTCAAGTACAAATTACATAACTATATATCAATTGTTGTTTATGATACATGAAAAGGTCATTTATCATAATATGTTATGAAAACATGCATTTGCACGATTTTTTTAATAATTTTTTTTAATAATTTAATTTCAATTTTACTTTTTCACAATCAATTTAATATTTGATAAATTTTGCTTCAATCAATCAATTAATATGTAATTATAACTATTCATTTAAATTTAAATTTTAGCAACTTTAAAAATTGAGTCATGAATTATAAATATTTTTTTTATGAGTTTAATTTTAGTACACAATTAATTAGTGTAAAGACTTTTACTTTGTCAATCAACTTACAAACTTCATAAGTATGATTTTTATACTAACTATTATATAAATTAATAATTTTTACTGATATGATAATATATAATTGGATGACCGGGTAAAATTATTTTATATTGTCATTATAATTAAACTAAATTATTTTGTACACAATCATAAAACTTAAAAAATGATTCATTTTGTTATATTTTATATGATTAAAATATATCAAATTAATATTTTAAATAAAAAGGTCAAACATTATATTTATTAAAGAATTTAATTAAAAATAAAATACATATAATTTTAATCAATTTTATTATATAAATAATTTCATCTAAGTAAAAATAAAGAAACTAATATTAGTTAGGAAAGTCTTTTTGTTTGAACACCTTTTGGTCCTAGTAGCATGGTGGATACCTCGTTAACAAGATAGAAACAAACACGTGTCTTAATTACTATAATTAAAAAGAAAAAATCCTCTAGAATTAAAGTGTTATAGTTCAATTAAATAAATAAATAAATAAATAAATAAATAAATAGCATCTTGTTGTACAACAAGCTACCCATTTCTCATATAACTGTTCATGGAACGAGTAATTGTTAAACCTACCCCATTAACTAGAACTGTCAAACCCGTTTCCTAGTTACTTCACTTCTGATTTTCAAAATTTTAATCCCTAATTTTGTTAAAATATCACTATTAATTAGTGAGGACTATTTTTAAAGTGATATTAAAATTATTATAGTGGTTAGTCGGTAACAACTAATCTTAATAAAAAAAATACTTAATTTTTTAATATTTTAAAATGACAAACTATTTAAGATAAATGAAAAATATTCAAGTCAGATTTTATGTTTGATACACAAAATATAATTTGTTTCCTTTCCTTTCCATTACACACCATTGCATTTGTTTTTCTGCACCCAGCACTGTTTCTATTGAGCAAATATTCAGCTAAAATTACGTAAATAAATACATAAAGTCTAGAAACAAAATCTAGTTATTATATCTTATCATTAATTACTAAAATTAAGATATAAAAGTCACGTCACATCTTAAAAAGTTAAGTAACTTTTAAATTTTTGTTAAAATAACCCTTATTAACTTTTTTTTTTTGCTATTAACTCTAATTATCTTTTATTCTTTACCATCCTGTAAAGTTATATAATCTAAGTTTATTCTTTTGGTTTTTATAATAAAAAGAACATTCTAGTTAAATAAGTCTCTTACCAGCATTTGTTGCTTTAAACTTCATCTTCCCTGCAATTCTTTGATATATATATATATATATATAGAGTGGACAAATTTTGCATAAATAGTTGACCCTTTGGGCAGAAAAATTGGCATTGGAGCCAAAAGTGGGGCAGAAGCATGTGCAGCATGTGTAAGTACCATGTTTTTGTGCTAAAGTAAATCCGTGTCTCAAGTCTCAAACTTTGCTGTGTCAAATATTGGTTTGAGAGCAATAGTTAAATAAATGCATAACAATTGACAGTTAGCAATACACATAATACTTGCCACTGTTTTGTGACTGAAACATTGTTTGTTTATAGGGAAAATGGAATACTCCTATTTCTGTGTGTTGCGTCAGTTGTCTTCTTCCTCCAATACCAAAACCCACGTGGGTAGCCTCAACTGGTGATTTGCACAAAATTAAATTTCTTTTCTTTTTCTTTCTTAAAGAAAAATTGGTATTCAAAATACCTGTTTGATAGAGTTAATTTCCACCAGAGATTGTGAGACAATAGTCCTGATTTTATTGGCTGTGCCAAGTGATCACAACTGGAGAAATATTAATAAGTAATAACAATTTTGGAATTAGAACAATCTCTAGCTCAAGGCCAGATCAGGTTAAGACACATAATTGGGTCAAGTTGAAGAGGACATACTAACAAAGCTGATGATATAAAAATTTGATATTGAAGGGCATTGATTCTGTCTACTAAGTAAACTAATAATTATATAATAAAACTATAGAAATTTATATACATCACCAAGAAAAAAGAAAGACCAATAAGTAAGGATGAGATCATAATATTAAAGAATTTATGGGGTTAGTTCTGTTATATTCGAGAGGACCTAGCCGGCCACTCACAAATCAATGGTCATAACTCATATAGATAAGTCAGAATGAAGGGTTGTTATGAAGCATTCATGCCAAAATCATGGTAGTGAAACTAAGGACCTACCACTTACTGCAGAAACACAGAGTTGTTGCTCTTAAAAAGAGATCAAAACTGTGCAAACACATGTGAAAATAGAGGAGAATGAAAAGTTATCAACATATATAAAATATAGACACTAGAAAAGACCAGAGGTAAGTAACATTAATTTATAAAATTAAGACAATCATGTTATTCAATTGCCACATGGAAAACAAATTAGCTGAATGTAGCACAACTGTACCTTGTGGAACGCATCTTTTTTATATATATTCTTTTTTTTCTACCTTTTCTTTTAATTATTTTATTCTTTTTCTTTCCTCTTTACATAAACCCCTTTTCTTTTTTTTGGAGAATCATAATTCATTAGCCAAGCAGGTCTATTTATTTTTATGCACCCACCACTCATTCTTTGTGTACCATACCAATCAACCCCCCTAGCTAGCTACCATGAGAAAACGTATCAACATGGAAAGTGATGCTGAGTACAACTTTGCCACATCCTCCACCACCTCCTCCACCACCACCACCACCCACACCAACACTTCTAGCACATCCTCTACCTCAAATTCAGTTACATGCACCAAAACTCCACCAAATGAAGCCAAAAAAGCTAAAAACTTGGAAGAAAATGGAAAGGACCCAAAAGGGTGTAAGAAGAGGCAGCGAGAAAATAGCAATCATCACACATATAGAGGTGTAAGAATGAGAAATTGGGGCAAATGGGTATCTGAGATCCGTGAGCCAAGAAAGAAGTCAAGAATATGGCTTGGAACATACCCTACAGCAGAAATGGCAGCAAGAGCACATGATGTAGCTGCCTTAGCCATAAAGGGTCATTCAGCATATCTCAATTTCCCTGAATTGGCTCAACAACTTCCAAGGCCAACAACAACATCACCAAAGGACATTCAAGCTGCAGCAGCAAAGGCTGCAAACACTACATTTCAAATGGTTAAGTATTGTCAAGTTGAAGAAGCTGAACCAAGACAAGCAGAACAAGCTTCATCTTCAACTCTATCATCAATGGACAATACTCATGAGTCTTCATCTTCTCCCTCTACCCTTGATGATGACACTTTGTTTGACCTACCAGATCTTTTCCCTGATCAAAACCATGCACTTTGCTCCAATTCTTATTCTTGGAATGTATGTGCAGTTGACAGTGGATTAAGGCTTCAAGAACCTCTTTTTTGGGAGAACTACTAGAGCCTGTTTCAAGTCAAAAAAACAATATTCAAATAAGAACATGAAAGAGAGAGTAAATTCAGAGTTTATCTTTTTGTTTAGTAGCTGCAACTACATTCTGAACAGAGAATAACTAGTTGAAGAATAGTCTACATTTTTATCTGTAAATTGATCTTGTCTACAGTTTCACTATTACATAAAAAGAATTCACAATATTTCTATTTTTTTAATCTTTTTATTTTATATGTATTTATATATTTTAAAATAAAAAGGACAACCATAAGTGATATTATATAATTTAATTTTTGACATACTTTTTATTCTTTTGATATATGCATCGTAAAAATATGCATTTATGATTAAAAAAAGGATAACTTTTTGTTGTCTAATTTATGTGTTCAAAAAATATTTTCTGTATTGATGGGATTAAAACAGGTGGCAATGAAATAAACCAAAGTTTTGTTTTTTAGGGGTTGAATAAGGGTATAGGTGAGGCAAAGACTATTCCACGATCCAGTAAATTACGTACCAATTAAGAATATATCATATGAGACAAGTCTCCTTTTTTAATATACATATAAGGTATTTACGATTGGAATGACCTTTTCAACTTTGATCGAAAAGATGTCTTAACAAAGGGAGCAGATTTTGGGAGTGTTAAACAAATTATTTCAAATAATTTATAAGTTTATTTCACTAAATAAATAGAATTGTTTATAAATTATGATTTCATTTTTACACACAAAGTTTCAAAAATATCCTTTAATATTGTACTACTCATTTTAACTATTACATTATTTAATCTTTTATTTTATTTTTAAATTATATTATCTTTAAATGAAAATACTAAGAATTAGAAATTAAATAAAAACCTAAATTATAAAATTTTAAAGATACTTATAATCTATTGAATAAAAATTATATGAAAAACACTATCTGAGAGAATTGGAACATATCCTTTCCTTTGGTTTAGATCGAAATTTTGTTAATATGGAGAGCAGATTTTAGTTAGCTCTCTCATTGGTTTTTTATTTTCGCTTTGTCTTTGACATTGTCATGAAATTGACTTGGGATATATTTTGTTATTAGTTGAAATATTTGTCACATATATAAATTATTATGAAGAAAATATAAAAGAAAATTATTTTATTCATTAAACCATATGTCAATTAAAATTTTATCTCTATAAAAAATGAAACACGTACTTAAGCATCCCCAACATGGATTATGGAGAATCACTATCTGGTTTCTACACAATGCCTATTTTAATTAGTAACTATATTTCATGTCACACGATGTACAGTATTATAATATATATTATATTATTATTATTATTATTTATATTTTTTATTTATGTTATTTAATAAAAAATATTAAACTTTATTTAAATAAAAATATTATTATTTATTTAGTAACTAAAAATTCATTTTATATTAATTTAGTCATTAAACATATAAAAATAACTAATAACAAGATAAACATTTAATAACTATTCAGTACATGAATCAACTGAGAAAAAAAAAAAACATTGTCCAGAATCAACTGATAAATAATTGTTCTAATTTAATATGTGTTTTTGAGTTTAAAAATTAAAAATATAATTATTTAAAAGATATATAAACATAAAAATAGTAAAAGGAATTACCAAAGTAATAAGTTAAAAAATAAAAAATATCATATGTCACTTCTTGTAATAGATTTTTTTATAATATTATAGATTATTTTATATTAAAAATTGTTTAGGTTAAGTATATCATTAATAAAAAATATTATAATTTGCTCAAAGAAAGAAATATTAAATTATTTATTTTGTATCTAAAAATTTACTTGATGTCAATTTAATTATTAAAAATATATAAAACATCCAATAAAATGTAAAAGTTAAAAGGTGAATATTCATAAAGATAAAATAAAAATAATAAATTAATACATTACAATTTATTTTTAAAAATAAAAATTCTACATAATATTTATAATAAAATATTTTATAAAAATAAAAAATATCATATTATACTTTTAATAAATTTTATAATATATATAAATATACCTAGCTAACTAATCAATTGAAATGTGATATGTAATTAAAAAATTAAAGGGTTATATTAAAGTGTATTAAAGATAGTACTGATTAAAGACTATTACCTATATTAATTGAATTGGTTAATTACTTGAAAATATTTAAAATTTATATTTTTAATAATTTAAAATTTCTTAATCAATACTAAAATTAGATATTTTGTTAAATTAATTTTAAAGTAGAATGTCCAATACATTTCCGTTAAAATATTGTGTGGTAAAGGAATCTCTCAAATTTTTTGTTTTATTATAATTTACTAATAGATAAGATATTTTTTATAGCCTTTGAATAAATAGCTACGACTTCCCCTTGTAAGAAATACAAACAAACAAGCAGAACAAATCGTACAAGTAACAAAAATTTAATTTGATTAGTTAAGTCATATGCTTACAATCATAGAGTAATGAAAATACCATATACATTTTACTCATGATTAATTTTATATTTTTTTTTCAGTAAAAAAAATTATATTCTTTTTCACAAACCCAAATACACACCTCCATTTAATTTAATATTTTTTTTCTCACAGCACCCATAAATTATTAATTTATACTCATAACATTTTCTTAGTTGGACTAGACTTTTAAGTTTCATAAATCTAGAGATTTATATTTCAAAGATAAAATATAAATAAAATTATTCTCATTTGGAAGAAGAAATTTCTTATAATAGTGTAAGTATAAATTTTTTTATAATATTTTATTTAATTTACATTTAACAGCTAATAAAATAATAAATTATAACCCGTTAGATATAAGTTAAATAAAAAGTTTAATTTTAATATGAGAATTTTTAGATTTACACTATTCCTCATTTTCACTTATGTTATTATATATAGTCAAGCATGCAAAGTTTTTCAAGTAAGGTAATAGATATTATATATTATTTCAACAAACTATTGAACACGGCGTGGCACAACTGATTAATAAAACAATGAATTTTCTATAGTTATTTATAATAACAATAGGCATTTTTAAAAAAATGATTGGCAATTTTTTATTTCTAAAAATTATAGAGTTTGAAATATGGAAGCATTTATTGCGTAAGCATGACTCCAAGCATCCAAAATGTTTAATCATTTTATAATATTGAGAAATATGTCTATATTTAATACAATAAGTATGTGACGACTATGCGCGTGTCAGTGTTAAAATATCTTATTGATTTAATAGTACTAGCATATGATGCTCTTTTAAATTAAATTAAATCAAATTGGTCGACGTCAAAATTAACACATTGTTTTTAAGATACCAATTTTATCATTTAACAAATACCCCAATCAATTTTTGTCTTTTTTTTAAAACCTAAATACTATATTATTTTACTATATTGATATTAAGTATCAGTGTATAAATTGTATGTAAAAAAAAACAAAAAAGTTGAATAATAAAAATAATTAGGACTTATTACTTAATAATTTTGAAGTTTTGAATTTGATGTAGTATTAATTATATGATTTATTCATAACAAAATTATCATGCATTTTAAAGCCTTTGTATATATGCCCAACATTTACTACTCTTTTGTATCCATTCATTTAGTTGGAAAAAAAATAAAAAACATTTTTAGTTTTTACATATTTTATCAAATTTTAATTTTAGTTTTTTAATTTTTAATTTTATTCTATGATTTTTTTTTAAACGTAATACTTTTGTCCTCTTTGATGACATGATTAATTAAATTGTTATGCACTAAATTTTTGTGTCATTTACTATTTTTATTTTATTTTTGGTTATATAACACCACTACTAAAAATAAAAAATTTTAAATCAAAGATTAAAATTGAAGTCTGATACTTTAAAAAAGAAAAAGCAAACCACGCTAGTGGGATGTGAGTTTTTATGTTATATATAAAAAAAGTGATTCATAGTATGTAAATGCGTACTTTCATCGTTTACACATTGACGGTGGCTTTGATATGTGTCTGGTTTTACGCAGTGATTGGGGCTAATTTTAACGTTAATATTTAATTATTAAATTATATGAAGGTTTATTATATATATTTTATGGTAAAAACAAGAGCAATAGCGCTTATAGCTATCAACTTGTTGAAACTAAAGCATATTTTATTATTTTATGAATATATTTCTATAACTTTCTCAGATACATTTAATTTAAATGTATGAACCCACAGATTCTAAGCTCCACACATTAATTTATTCAAATGATTAGTTAGTACTGTGATAACTATTAACCATCAAGCAAATGAAATGTGAAACCGTGTTTTCTGCATATCATTTGTACCCAATATTCAATATATTATGGTGATTTCAATTTTGCGTACGTTTTAAGTCTCCTTATTAACACCCCATTTTTTCTCAACCCTATACCTACCTAGTTTAATTTTGAACTATATTTCAAAGTGTAATATATTTACAAGAAGAAAAGTTAAATTATATTGGTGTAAAATATATTTATTTTTATGTTATTTATTAATTTTTTTAAATTTATTGTATTTATTTATTGTATAAAGCTATAGGCAACCTAAACTCTTCCACTCCTCTCTCCCCTTTTTTTTTTTTTTTAATATTTTGGTTGGAAAGACATGCCAAGAAGATTAAATGCATCATATAGTAATCATGCCTTTATTAATTGGCTTATAAATTAATTTATCAAACGTGATGTTATGCTAATATGAATACCCAGAAGGATCCAGATCGAATAAAATTTTGCTTCTAAGCGTCACTTTTTGCATAATGATTAATCAAAAGAAAAATCATCTTATTCTCAGTCTGTATAGATACACATGTAGGTACTCAAAGAAGGCGACATCATCATCTAACCAAAGAAAAAGTGTATAAAGACAGTGTAAATTAACAGAGCCAAAAGCGATTGTTTCCCTATTAGAATTATTCAAAACCATTATATATAGCAAGTGCTAAATGACCTCACTATGAGAAAAGAGTGATAGAAAGAATTGAACCCAACTATATAATAAAATAAT